CTGGGGAGAGAACAAGGACCCCCCAGTGCTGAGACCAGCCCCCCGCCATACTCACATGGACTTTCTTGCCGTAGTAGGGAAAATACATGAGGTCGATGTGACCATTGGGGGGGTACATCACCATCTCCCCTAGCTTCTGCGCGTCCTCCTCTTTCTGGCGGGGGGGGGGGGAGGAGAAGAAGAGAGAGGTCAGGGGTTACCCAGAACCCCCTAGCCGTCCCCCACCACCCCATCCCTCTGCACGTTCCCATTGGGGTCTCCCCCTCCCGCCCCAAAAGACCCATCCCCCTGTTCCCTCGCCATCCCCCCAGCCTTAGTCCCCCCATCCACCCTGCCTGCCCCCCAGCTCCCCCCCATCCTCAGAGCTCCCCCCAACCTCCTCTCCACCCTGGCATGTCCCCCCTTCATTTTCCTAGCCACCTGTCCACTCCCATTATGGCACCCCGAGCCCCCCCATTTCCTGTCCTTACTGCGCGCTCCGTCTTGGGGGTCAGCTGCCCGGAAGGCGGAGGAGAGCAAGATGAAATGAGTGAATAAGTGGCCGAGAAGGAGAGGTAGCGAGAAGAGACGCCGGTAGCCAGGGAATTTGTGGGGGGGGGGGATCTCAAATCAGGGTGCAGTTGGGGGAATCTGCTAAAATGGGGGTGCTGTCTTGGACAGGATCAGCAAAGCCACTTACTGCTCTGGGGCTGGGAGAGGCAGAGCTTAGGTGAATTGGGGGGGCATCTCAAATCGGGGTGCAGCCAGATGTCATCTAACTCAGGGTACAAATCATGGGGACCTAGTCAATCAACCAGCAGCTCCGCAAGGTCCTACGGGATGCAGACGGGAGTGCTACAAGCCGGGGTGGGGGTTGTATATATTTGGGGGACACCCCCACCCGAGGGGGGGTCCCCCACTGCCCGGACACGGCCCTTACCGCCTGGAGTTTGGAAACGGGCCGCTGTGGGCGGGAAGAGCCGGAGAGAGACAAGGAAGGCAAATTAATGAAGAGAAAAGGGGTTGATGGAAGGGGGGGCAGCGGGGGGGGGGGTGAGGGCTCACCTTCGCGGCACAGGTGACGTTCATGGTCTGGTTGGCCCCTGCAAAGAAGTTGATGACCTGGAAGGAGGAAGAGGGAGGGTGTCACAAAAGTGTGTGGGGGAGAACCCCCAAAATTTGGGGGGGCGCGAACCCCAGCCAGCCTCACCTACCCGGTTCATCTTGATGAGGATGCAGGGCCGGCCGTCGGCGTAGCCATAGTAGGTGGGGTCGTTGAGGCCGGAGCAGGCGCCCAGCACCGTGCGGTTGAACTGGCAGGCCCGCTTGGGGTAATTCAGCACCCCGTTGTCCGGCTGCTCGTTGTAGCGGCCCGGGCGGCACGCGTCATTTGTGGCTGCCTGGATGGAGTCGTTGTAGGCTGTGGGGGGGGGGGCGAGGGGGGGAGTTAGCAGGTTAGCACTGAGGAGCTACCAGAGTTAAAGCCCTGAGGAAAATCATGCAGCGGGGAGTTCCGCAGGTTAACAATGTCCTAATGGGAAAGGTTGCGGCTCTGCTGACAGCCACCAGGGGGCAGCAGTCTGCCATTCACCTGCATCCTCCCTCTGACCAGACAGCCATGGCTACGGTCGCCCCCCCCCCCCCACGTCCATCAGGCACAACCGGGCTAATGCAGGCCGTGGGGGGAGGGAGGCGGTTTGCAGGGGGGCAGATACAATGCAGGGGGCAGGGACCTGGGTCACCCAGAGCTAAGCGCATCACCACGACCCCCCCCCCAAATCTGGCTCTCCCCGCCCCCACATCCAAACACCCCCTCCAAAAAAAATTTTAAAAAAAGGAAAATCTACCCCGTCCCATGCCCCGAATTCCCCTCCCCCTTCTCTCCCCTCACACCCCAAAATCTGCTCTTCCGACCCCCATGTCTCCCAAGATCTGTTCCCCCTGCACACCCCACCTGCCCCTCCTCCCAACTGCCCCTCCAAAAGTCTCACCCCCTCTTCTCCCCCACACCAGCCCCACGGTCGCCCAGAACTAGAAGCCACCATCCCCATCCCAACCCCCTTCCCCCCCCAAATGGGGGTTAATTGGGGGGAACGCCACCCCCACCTCCCGCTTTGCCCCATCCCAACTCACGCTCCAGGAAGTCATTCAGCATCTTGACATAACGGTCCCAGCTCTCTGTGTTGCTGACGTTAAATGTCACGTCCAGGGTGTCTGTCTTGGGGCGGATCATCATCCCTGGGGAGAACATTGGGGGGGGGGGTCTGCTTTAGGGGGCATTTCTAGCCCCCCCATATCGTGCCAATGCAGCTGGGCGCACGCGATGAGCGGGATCCACCAGGAGAGGTGCGCGCGTGTGTGTGTGCGCACGGCCCGCACACGCACGTGCAAAAAAAAGGGGGCACACAAGAGGATACCCCCCGGGCCACCCTCCCACGATGGCACCAGCCGGGGGCCGTGGCCAAGGAACCCGGCCGGAGGCGGCAATTGGGCATGTGGCGTGCGTGCGACAGGCGTGCGATGAGCGTGCAACCGGTGTGCGACGGGCAATGCAGGCGCAGTGGGACATGCTGCCCCCCACCCCAGGGTGCCCCCCAACCCACAAAGCCTTACCGGGCACGGAGAGGCGGTCCTGGTACTTGGGGATGTAGGGGTCAACCGTCTGCAGCATGACCCACATGGTGAGCGTGAAAAGCGCCGTCAGGAAACCGTAAAACACCAGGTAGAAGAACAGGATCAAGGCTGGGGGAGGGGAGGGGGGCAGGGAGAAAAAAGCGGGGGGTCAAGCAAAGCCCCCACATGGGGGAGGCCCCACCTCAGAGCCCCCCTTCATCAAGCACCGGAGCCCCCCTCCACATTCCCGGCTCCAGCTAATTAGACAGGAGATTAAAAGGGAATTGGCGGGGATACCCCTCCCCCCAACACACAGCCTAACACCCCCCCCCCGGACAAACTGTGCGCAGGAGGGAGGGGGTTTGGGCATGTACCCCCCCAAATAGGGGGTTCCTGGGGGGGAAGTTGGATGTGCCCCCCCAGCTCACACAGGAATGGGGGTGCACATGGCTTTCCCTCTGCACCCTCCTCCTCTGGCTGTCGGGGGGTCAGCCAATTGGGGGGCCCTCCCCAGACTAAATGGGGGGGGAATGGGACAGATCCCTCAAACCTTCCCACTCAGATCCACCCAAACCCCTCCTCCCACTCCCCCCCAGCCAGGGTACCCCCAAACATCCCTCCCCTACACCCCCAGATCTACCCCTCCCCACTCCTCCCCAGCCAGGGTACCCCCAATATCCATTCCTCTGCACCCCCAGATTTACCCCTCCTCCACTGCACCACCAGCCAAGGTACCCCCAAACATTCCTCCATCTGCACCCCCAGATTTATCCCTCCTCCATAGCACCTGCAGCCAGGGTACCCCCCATGCACATCTCTCCACACCACCAAATCCACCCCTTTTCCCAAAAGCCCCCCCCCAAGTCTCCAGATACCCCCCAATGCCCCCAGATCCAGCCCCCGGTACACCCCCCAAACAGTGCCCCCCTCATCGGCAGAGCCCAGCCTAGCCCCACATTTCATCTAGGCCACGTGTCCCTGCAGAACGCAGTCCGGGGCCATTCCAGGGACCCTGGCACAGAGCCCCATGGATTGGAGGGAGGGAATTGGGACACCGGAAAAGCCCTGGGGGAAACGGGGATCCCCCGACCCCCAACACTCCCCTCCCCTGAACCCCGGCACAGTCCCATGGCTAGCCAGTGACACCGCTTTGCCCTCGGGGCTCGCAGGTTGGCTCCCCACTCGGGAGACAGGCCCGGAGGAGCGCAGGAGGAAACCCAAAGGTGAGAGAACAGAGAAGCTCTGAGCTACTCCCGGGTGTAAACCCAGAGTAACCCCAGTGTAAACCTAAAGGGGAGGCCATCAGCCCCTCTACTCCCCAGATGTAAACACAGAGTAACCCTGGTGTAAACCTAAAGGGGATGGAGATTAGGCCCTGTGCTCCCCTAGGAGCAAACCCAACGGTGAGGGTCTGGCTACAGCCTGGTGTAACCCCAGTGAAAACCTAACAGGGATGGTGATTGAGTCCTCTGCTCCTTCCTGGTGCAAATCCCGAGTAACCCAGCTGCAATCTTGAAATTGGAGGCATAGGAGAGCTGCCCTTGGTTATTCCCAGTGTAAATCTAGACGAACCCCTTTGTAAATCTCCAAGTGTCTATCTGCACAGAACCGGCCCCCTCTGCCTGCAGCTACCCCTTGATGCAAATGCACCTAACCCAACTTCCCAGCCCCTCTGGAGCACCTGAGCATGGGCGGGACGTAAAGCCAGATCAACAGGTGTAAACCTGTAGTAACCCTAGTGCAAGCCAAAAGGTGACCGAAAACCAAAGCGTAGCCCCTCTCCTCAGAGGTGTAAATCCAGAGTAAGCAGTGAGACTCCAAAGGCGGCGGAGATCGGAGCGTGATCCGTTGCTCCCAGGTGTAAATCTGGAGTAACCCAAATGCAAGGGGGATCAGAGCAATGCTTTGCTCCAGGTGTCAATCCAGAGTAATCTCCTCCAGGTGTCAATCCAGAGTAATCCATATGCAAGGGCAGGGGGGGAAATCAGAGCAGTGCATTGCACCCAGCTACTACCCAGTGTAAATCTAGAGCAACTCCACCCCGATCTCCAATGCCTTATGGGGTGCAGGGAGTGACCCACCGCTCACGGCTACTCCCGGGTGTCAATCCGGAGTAACCCCCCCTGCAATTAGTGCAACGCTCCTAGCTACCCCCCTGCCCGCACCTAACGCCAGCTCTTCTGGGGTAGCGGGGCTCCTCCCAGCCCCACAAACAAAGCCCCCGGTCAGCTCAAAGCCCCGAAGCCCAAGGACTGGCTGGGGCAGGTCATAGAGCCGGCGACACGCAAGGACCAGTGTCCCCCCCCCTCCCGCCCCCCAGGCTCTGGGCCCCATTGTGATCCTGGGAAAGGACAGGGGAGGGGTTAATGTGGCCCCACATCTTGCCCTCTGCCAGCCCCCTCTGCAGGGCCCCCCCACGCTTCCCAGGCCTACAAGCTCAGTCAGCCCCCCTCCATTCCCATCTCCCCACTCTACCACCTACCCCGCACATCCCCCA